CCTTGGTCGCCCCCGCGTCCCTGGAGCCTCCCCTCGGGCCTGGGGATTTTAGGTCTCGTTTTGGGGAGCAGAGGCCCCACCCGAGGACACAGGACGCGTTATGTAACTGGTGATCGGCAGTCCCAGCGCGGCCTCCTTTGTGTTAGCGGGTCGTGACCTGCAGCGGGACGGCTCGAGGGCAACGGGCCTTGTTTTACTGTTTGGCCTCTGACGCCCTCGATCGAGGCGGGACCAGGTCCTGGCTCCTGGAAGTGGAGAAACCAGAAAACCCGCGTGCCAAGGCCCTGGCGAGCTGTTAGTCACCAAGCTCTGGGGCCTTGGTGTGAATACAGCTGCTATCGATGGCACCAGATTGTTTTGAAATAAGAAGTGCTCATCTCGCAGCCTACCCTTTTCCTGACTCTCCACGTCTGGCCACCTCGGTTTTCTCCTTTTCTGTGCACTTACTTTTAAATGTCCAGTTAATTCAGGTTTCACGTTAGCAGGCCCAGGTAACCTCCTGGTCACCAAATCTGGAGACCCCGTCATTTCAGACAGCGTAAGGTTGTTGTTAAAAGAGGACCCTGTCAGCACCAGGGTTGAAGTCCCGATCCTTTCTGTTAATAACATGCTAGGTTACCAGCCTTGTATTGCTGTTGGGGCTAAAATAAATAAAGAGTATATTAAACTTCAGCTCCTGGCGCTTAGTAGAGTCAATACACTGTAGCATTTATTAATAATCTACTCTGTTGGGAATTTGATGGTTGGTTACTTTAGCATTTCTGACTTCTTTTAACTCCAAACTGGTCCCTTCCTACAGGTGAAGAACCGGCCCACTGGTATTTCATGGGATGGCCTTGATTCAAGTAAACTCTACACCCTGGTCCTGACAGACCCAGATGCTCCAAGCAGAAAGGACCCCAAATTTAGGCAAGTTGGGGAACTGCGGGTCATCCACATATGAGCTGGTGCTTCTCCCCCAGTGTCAGCCCCTCGCTGGACAGTGCTGTGCTAGACCTGGCTTGGGAGGTGCACATCCGTGCCTAAGCAGAGTGTGCGTCTCCAGCCCCTCCCTCCCCAGAGAGGAGACGAGGAACTACAGCTGAGAGCCGCATCTGCCTGCGGCCTGCCTTTGTACAGCCCCCCTGAGCTGAGAATGGTTTTTACGTTTTTTTGGTAATTGGGGGAAAATTGAAGAAAGAAGAATACTTTGTGACATCTGAAAATGAAGTGAACTTCACCTTTCAGTGCCCATAAGTAAAGGCTTATTGGAGCACGGCCACGATAACTTACTTAAATCTTGTCTGTGGCTGCTTTCATGCTATCGCCAGAAAGTTGAGTTGTTGTGACCGAGACAGTGTGAACTGCAAAGCCAAAAACATTTACTGTCTGGCTCTTCACAGAAAGTTTGCTGCTCTAGACCAGCGGCCGCCAACCTTTCGGACCTCACGGACCGCTGGTGGTGGTTGGCGACCGCTGCTCTAGACAATCACGGAGGGAGGGAGGTGCTGGGTCGTCTCTTCTGCAGACACATGAGGTTTGCGATGGCCCAAAAGGCAGGACTGTCCAGTTCACGCTGCATCCTGGCATGGAACGTGGGCTTCACGCACGTTTGTCGGTGGCGCAGTGAGTGCGTGCTGACTTCCCCTGTGTTCTCTCATAGGGAATGGCACCATTTCCTGGTGGTCAATATGAAGGACAACGACATCAGCAGTGGCACCGTCCTCTCTGATTATGTGGGCTCTGGGCCTCCCAAGGGCACAGGTCAGTAAAGGCTGTTTTTAGGGGGTTGAGGGAGGGGAGCCTGGGTGCACATTAGGATTGGCCTGCAAGTGCTGCTGCCGATTGTAGTCTGATTCTTAGAGCTTTATTCTTTTATTTATGAGAGCTCTTACCCTAGTGGAGGCTTCAGGCAGTGCAGTTTGCTTCCAAGGCAGTAGAGTCAGTGGCTGGAACCTTGGGTTCTGGTTAGTAAACAGGGAAGTCTGTGAGAAGATACTAAAGAAGCCGTGTTGCAGGATGCTTGAAATGGCTTCCTACGGGGGCTGTATACGGACTGAACACAGATAAACCATTTAAGTTCTATTTTCAACTTTGGCCCTGTGGGATCTTTGAGCTTTTAGTTCCCATAAAAAGTCTCAGAAATGATCATAGTTTCCAAATTAATTATTAAAAATTGGCTTCTTTATCTCTATAGTTTCCCTTTTCTCTTGAAAATCGAGTGTGGTATCTTGAAAACTCTCCGCCCCTCTCATGCATTCATAAAAGGACGGTAAAGGTACATCTTTCTCAGGGATCTATTAAGTTCTCTAGGGCAGTTATAAAATTAGACAGTTAATTATGGTAAGTACACACATGAGAATAAAGCAATTCTCTCAAATAGGGAGTTCTGTTCTCATTAACAAAAAAAGCCTCAGTAACTCACACTTTTTCCTTTTGCTTTTGTTCATATTCTTTTAGTAAGGTGTAACTTACAATAAAGCCACAGATTGTAAGAGTTTAGACAACGGGTATTGATGGATGCACCTTTTCCAGTTAACTTTTCCCAGAGCTAACCCTGTTCTGACACCGCTCTCCACCGATTACTTTTGTATTCATATAAATGATATGCAGGATGCATTTGTTTTGAGTGATTGGTCTCTTTCACTGGAGATCATGTTTGAGATTCATCCATGTCACTGTTTGTGTGAGTAATTTGTTCCTCTGTATTGATTGCTAAGTGGTATTCTGTTGTGAATATGCCAGTTTGTGCAGCCATTCTCTTGTGGGCTGTTTTTAGTGTTTGGATATTATAAATAAAGCTGCTGTATACATTCTTGTCATTGGTGGGCATAGGTGTCCATTTTTCTTGCGTAAATACCTAGAAGAAGAATTGTTGGGTCATAGAAATTGCCTAAGAGTTCTCCAAAGTGATGGAAAATTTTTACACTCTAATCAGCAGTATATGAAAGTTTCAGAAGATCCATATAAGATTCATGTAGATCCCTATCAAAATTTATCCATGTTGTAGCATGAGACAGGATTTCCTCCTTTTTTAAGGCTGAATAATATTCTATTGTATATTTATACCATGTTGTGTTTATCCATTCATCTGCCAATGGGTTATTTTCAGCCTCTTGAATATTTCGAATAATGCCGCAGTAAACATGGGTGTACAAGTTTCTAAATAGCTTTTCTTTCATAAAGCAACTCATGGCACCTGCTTGAGTGCAGTCCCGAAAGCTGTAAGGTTCATAGGGTGCTTGCTGGCTTGCTTTCGAACATGCATTGCTGCTTAGTTGGTTAAAGTGAACTGAGCCATTTCTTTTAAAGCAGGTCTCTTATCTTCCAAGGAAGTCAGTTTTGGAGGTAGAAAGGTGATGTTCTCCTTTAGCCTGTGCAGGTATAATTGTGGTATGATGAGCCAGTGATTTTCTGTGCCCTTCCTCCATTTCTCAGGTATTTTTTAGCCTCTCCTGCCTGCCAGGCACTGAAGTCAGATAGGTTCTAGGGCAGCGGTTCTCAACCTGTGGGTCGTGACCCCTTTGGGGGTCGGGGTTCGCCTAAGACCATCAGAAAACACATATATAATTACATATTGTTTACAGTAGCAAAATTATAGTTATGAAGTAGCAACAAAAATAATTTTATGGTTGGGGTCACCACAACATGAGGAACTGTATTAAAGGTTTGCGGCATTAGGAAGGTTGAGAACCACTGTTCTAGGGAGATAATGGTCAATAAGACGAACACCGTAGCTTTATGGGGCTCTCTTTTCAGTGAGACAGTTAAATGAACAAGTAAGCATTTTAGATAGCCATGCTACTGTGACAGAAGTAAAATAGGCATCCTCATGGGAGTGGTGGGAAATGGCTGGTGACCAGCTCCTACTGGAGATGGGCGGGAATCCTGGAGTGGGATGAATGAGTAGCAAAGAGCAGTAGGAGGGCCAAATCCTGTCCGTCTAAGAGGCTGTAATGCAGGCTGTGGACTGTATACCACTTGCAGTGCAGTGTCACTGGGTGCGTTTCAGCAGGTGAGTGACCCGACTTATTGCACCTCTCTGGGTTCTCAGCAACTTTGCAGATGGGGTGGTCTGGGTCCCTCCAAGCTATGAAAAAGGATGATGCCTCCATCAGATGCCTAGCTGTCTGTGTATCTTCCCTCCTGCCTCTCCCCTCCAGGCCTTCACCGCTACGTCTGGCTGGTTTACGAGCAGGCCAAGCCGCTGAAGTGTGACGAGCCCGTTCTCAGCAACCGATCTGGAGACAACCGTGGCAAATTCAAGGTGGCATCTTTCCGCAAAAAGTACGACCTCGGGCCCCCAGTGGCCGGCACGTGTTACCAGGCGGAATGGGGAGACTATGTGCCCAAGCTCTATGAGCAGCTGGCTGGGAAGTAGGGGAAAGCCAGGAGACAGACATGGCCCCGGGGCCCAGGCAGTGTTCTCAAGTTCAGTGATGCATGTTGATTTCTCCTCTTGCCTGTTCCCATTCTCACAGGCGAGACCTGAGCAGATAGCGCTGTAGGGTGTCTTTTCCTTCTACCTGTCCTTTATCATTGTATAGGGCCACACACCCTGGATTTATGTTTTGATCAAATTTGAACTCCATTTTGGGGGCTATTTTGGTACTATGATGTGGTCATCAGATTGTTAATATAAGAAGAACAACCCAGAATTTAAAGGCGTATCCTCTGAAGAGCAGCACTGGAAAAGCAATCGGGAGAGTCCCTTTCCTGTTGAGCTGTAGGGCTGGGTGAGGGGTTATCTGAAGTCCGTTAGTCTGTGCCTGTTAAATTTATCACTCTTCCTTGGTGTAATAAAAGCCAGTATGGAGTTGCTAAATGTTGTGTTAATTCTGCTGTTTGCTTACAGTTGAATAAAAATAAAAACATTGTGTGGACAAACTGAGCCTCTGGATATTTTGCCCTTTTGGATATGGGGTTTCAGAAATGTGGAAAGTCAAGAGACTACCTGGAAGGGTGACCAGACCTGGGTTCACTGACCAGCTGAAATGACTGGGACTTGATTCAGGGACCCACACATGCCATTAAACTATAGCAGGAACAGCCATTCATTTAAATTTGAGGGTTGTTTTTTTTTTTTAAATCACAAAACTTTAGCCAAGTCTCTGCGCAAAAAGCACCTTTGCTTTTTGTAAGTGGTCCCCCATGGTGTAGTGGTGTGCGGACACCGTAACAGTTGGCTGTGAAGTAGCCTACACTCTCTTTGTGTTGACATAATCCATATAGAATCAATATCGAAAGGGGGCGGGGGCAGGGTGGATCGATCACTCACAACAGTTGATGTACCAAGAGATGTACCAACAGTTGATGTACCACATCACTGACCTGGTCTGTGATGGGGACAGGATCCGGGTGAGGCCTGGCAGGCACTAAGCCAGGCTGGGCTTTATGCTCCTTTTCGCTGCTGTACTTTTCTGGAAAATTGTTGGAAATGTTGCCTCTTGTAATCTCTGGGGGCAGATAAGGTAGAGAGTAATTTTTTTTTTTACTTTAGGGGTTTAAAATTTATTTTTAAAATAATATTTTATAAAACAAAAGTTGTAAAGAAACTACCCTGTTGACCTTAAAAATAAATGTGAAAAGTAATGCACCTTAAGACAAGGCAGACAATGTAGGAAGAAAATACGTTTCCTGCCCTGACCGGTTTGGCTCAGTGGATGGAGCGTCGGCCTGCGGTTAAGACAAGGCAGACAATGTAGGAAGAAAATACGTTTCCTCTTTCTGTCTCAACTGCAGAACTGGTTTTCTTTCAGAAGGAAATGTAACAGTATATTTACATATTTATCCTTAAAAAATTAGAGTCTTGCTATACAAACTGGTATACATAGTTTTGCTGTCTTTCCCCAACTAATGTACTTTCATGCATTTTATATTCAGTAAACAGGTCAGCCCAATTCATGTCTTTTTAAATAAATACTCTATTTTATGGATGTTTCATAATTAACTACTCCAATTCCCGACTGTGATTAGATTATTTCTGGTTATTTGCTATTATAAACTGCTTCAACAAACCTATTTTATGTATATAAAATGCTTTTTCAAGTAATTTAGTGGAAAAATTCTTAGTATTGAAATATTTCAAAGGCCATATACATTTTCAATGCTGATACTGACAAACCACCCTCCAAAAATCTCATACTGATTATATTCCTGTTAATGGTATAGGAAAGTAACTTTTTCCATACCATTACCAATTTTCTCAAACTTTAAACACTTGACAATTTGATATTTATGTATATTTAAAATCATTTACTGTTTCTCTAAACTGTTTTCTTTGAGATTTTTATCTTGCTAACCACAGTACTTTCTTAGTTATAAGGAATTACAGTAATCTGTTTCCTTGTCTAAAACAGATATAGACTCATAAATGATTCTGAAAAAGGTCAACAACTCAACCAAAAAGAGGTGAAGTGTGTGCACAAGAAGTTCACATAAAAAGAATGATACACAAGAAAAGATATATTAGTAACCTGAGAAACAATGGGATATCATGTTTCACCTATTAAATTGGAAATTAAAGTGACCTTGCCCAAGGGCACTACACTAGGAAGCAGGTGCTCCAGGTTCCGAACCCAGGTCTGGCCTCAAAGCCCAGTTCATAACCACCATGTCCACTTACAAATTCTCTTACGGTTCAGCTTCCTCATGTGAAAAATGGGTGGGGAGAAGCATTCTGCCATATTTACCTCGGAGGGTTGTTGGAAAACAATGATTTTTTTCTTGAGATTAAGTGAATGAATACATGTAAATGATGAACTTGACCTGATTGACAGAAACAAAGTCTAGTCACTTTCTTCAAGGCTGCTTCCTGTCTGGTCACAAATTTACCAAAAGCGTGTTTATAAGGGTCTAGACAGGGGTGGGCAAACTTTTTGACTCGAGGGCCACAATGGGTTCTTAAACTGGACCAGAGGGCCGGAACAAAAGCATGGATGGAGTGTTTGTGTGAACTAATATAAATTCAAAGTAAACATCATTACATAAAAGGGTACGGTCTTTTTTTTGTTTGTTTTATTCATTTCAAACGGGCTGGATCCGGCCCGCGGGCCGTAGTTTGCCCACGGCTGGAATGAAGACCACAGGAGTCGCCTCTGTATCACAGTGCAGCTTAGCAGCCCCTCCAGACCCCAGTATTTCTAACACAACTCTGGAACCTTGGCAACTGCTCATCATTCTGACTTCATGGCAGAACATATGTAAACATGACAATAATCTAGAAGGCCCTCATTAAACCCTGATTAATAAGCGAGACCAGATCTCAGAAACACGGGTTTGATATCTAATACTTAAACATTCATAGTACATAGCCTAAATCCTCTTCTTGATCAGGGAGCAAGGGACTTCTGTTCTTATATTGTCTACTTAAAACTCTTCAGTTTTCAGTTGCTCTGGGATATAGACCAGGTCCTCAACATGACCTGTCAGACTGTATGATTTCACCCCCCATTAGCCTCTCTAGCTTCCTGCCACTCATTCCTGTCTTCTCATTAAACTCCAAACTTGCTGGCTTCCTCTCAGTTCCTTGAACATGCGAGGCTACTTCCAGATTTGGTCCTTTACAAATGCTGCCTGTGATTCTCCCCTCTACCCCCCACTTTCTTGGATAACATCCCTTTCACTCTCTCAGTAGCTCTTAACTGACCTTCCGGGAATCCTTCCCTGACTAGGCTAGGTTCTCTTAGCTATGCTAAGGCAACATTACAATTGTAACATGTATGTGTAATTTTAAATTTAATTTTATCTCTTCTATTAAACTGGACCCTTCATGAAGGCAAGGAGAACCAATCTCTGCCTTTTAAGTGGACTGTTTAGAGACTGCTAATGCTTAATGTAATTATTGCTAGGGTGAGATTTAGTTCTACCACTTTATTGTTTTGTTTGCCCCTCTTTTTCTTGGTATCTCTGTACTCCCTTCCCTGCCTTCTTTAGGATTATTTGAATATTGGAATTTATCTATTGGATTTGGGCCTGTTACCTCTTTGGCTTTTTTTTTTTGGTAATTGGAGTTACAATATACATAACTACTTTTTCAATCTGCTTAGAATAAAAATTGTACCACTTCATGTAAAATTTAGATGCATGGCAGTATTTCAAAATAGTTAAGAGAATATGAGGGAGGACAGTCTTACATTTATCTAGATACTTACCATTGGTTGCTCTTCATTCCCAGAGATTCAAGTTTTCTTTTGGTATCATTTCCCTTCAGTAGGAAGAATTGCTTTAGCATTTCTTGTAGATTGTCTCTTGGCAATTAATTCTCAATTTTTCTTCATCTGAGAATGGTTTTGTTTGCTTTTCCACAATCCACCCGCTTTTATTCTTCAGTGTCTTCAGTTTATCTAGTTTTTTCATTGTAATTAGCAGGAAGGATCTACACTGCTCTGCTAAACTGGAACAATAAAAATGTGATTTTTATATCCTGTCATTTCTATGGAAAAACATATTACTAAATTAGAATCAGAGGGTATATGGAGTTTTTACAGGGGCATGCTTTCAGTTGCCCAGGAATACCCTTTTTCAATCGCTATATAAACAAATAATTGCAGAGGATGATAAATTCAAGAAATAAACTGACTCGGTTCATTAGACATCACTGGTAAGCATTCTCTGATACCCTCTGTGACTAATTGTTGCAGCTCCTTCACAATCTTGCTAGCACCCAGTCCTTCCATTGTCATGCCTCATCTTACTCCACTGTTGATTAATTTAGTCTACTGCTGATTTACTTGTTTCAGTAGAGATTTAAACCATGAACTCCAGCAGGGTGACCCCATCCATCTTTGCCACACTCCCAGGCACACAGTAGGTGCTCAATAAATACTTCTTGAATGAGTGTATGCTGATCCTGGCTTCTAATCCCCTTTCCCTACTTTTTCCTTCAGCTATAGCACTTATTACCATGTCAGATCGTTTAGTATAATTACTGTGTTTTCAGTTTCCTCCCACCCCCACTGTAAGCTCTATTAGGGCAAGGATCTTTACCTGTTTGAGATACATTTGGCCTGGCACCTGACATATAAGGTACTCAGTAAATATCATTGAATGAATCATTGCAAATCAAAGGTAAGCAGCCCTTACTAATATGTATGATGAACCTGCAATCATTCTTTTCTTTTTAACTCAGGGGAGTTTAGTGTATGCTGAAATTATAGGACACAGGCTCTCTGTTGCTATCACAGAAACACTTTCATACCTGTTCTCCACTGCCATTCTGGTCCTTGTCTATTCTAACTGCCTCCTCGTGAAGGTACTAGAGTTGACTCAGTATGTCCTAGGTGTTAAGAGCAGGGACCCACATGTCTTCCTTCTGGTCTTCCTTCCTTCTGGTAACTCTACCTTGGAACACATCACTGACAAACTTGTGAAGAGGGAAATTTTATAAAGATCAGCACCTGTCATCTCATAGACATAAGGCCTTTATACAAGCTAGCTAGACATTTTTCACTATGGAGACAAATGGATGAAATAGATTTCATGAAGCCTTTCTGCCTTATTGAAGACTTAATATTCTGATTGACAGGATGACCTATGCTTAGGAGGGTGTGTTCTGAAATCGGACAGGTCTCCAGTCTCCACCACCACCACTTATGCTGGTCTGAGCTTATTTCCTCATTTGTAAAATGCTCAGTGTCCCATCCCATGGTAAGCATAAGCAGGAAATACAGCTTATCTATTTTTCGTGGGTTATGAGTCTTCTTTCCAGCCTTCCCTTTCTTATTTTCTGTGCACCTAACATAGAAATTTCAATGAACTAAGCTGCTTAGGAAACAGGAGATGACTAGTAATGGCTTTATGGTTGGGGTTAATCCACGTGGATACATATTTTGTATGTTTTTAGTATACCTCTCTGCTGTAGTTTATTATAGTGAACATGACTGGTC